TTTCTCCCTGTAGAAGTTGCTGGGCCTGCTGAGTTTCTCCAGGAATTTCTGTTTTGTTGAAGGTGAAAGAGAAGTTGAAACTGTTTGCTCCATTCTTAAAGGAGCTGCGTAATTGGGAATGAGACTGGATGTCGCAGGGATATCGCAGACTGAGATCATATAATTGATTCTCACTTGATCTTACCCTTCCGAAAAACTAACAGTGTTAACTCTCCATTTCATCAGCCACTTGTTTCTCAAGGGTCCTCTATGAATTAGTTCTCAGAAACCTTCCTGACAATCATAGCTAGCTGTTGTCTGTGCACGTTCACAAACCAGGGTGAATATGGTCGATGAAACAAGAATGTGGAGCTTTACTTTATTCCGAATTATCAACTCCCAGTTTTTCAGCATAAGGGACCCAAGGCTTAGATAGTTGCTGTGTGCCAACTTTGTGCCATATCTAATTTGCTCACACAATGTGGTCTTGAAATGTAAATGTTATAATTGGGTCTGAGGTGAGCTTAATGCTTGGTTGGTGGTGCCATGTGTAACCAGGAAGCGGGAACAGCCTGAGTGACCAGTACTAAGGCAAGCCAGCATTCTCTACATGCAAAAGTGATCAATCAGCCAAACGTAAACACAAGACGCAGAGAAAGATTGCCCTGGTACTGAAATTTTTCATCACATATAAACAAAAATCTGCAATGGCATTGAACCCAACAGCTATATATGTACCAAATTCTCAGTTACCGTCCCCAGGCCATTAACAAGCACCAACTCTATTCTTCCTGTTCTCTGTTTGATAATTCCAGCCAGTTGGGGATGCATGGGGATATGTGCAAGTAATCCAGAGGCTCAGGCTAAGTCTCTGGGGACATGGGATCAAATCTCCAAATTGCTAGCTTTAAACCAAATTTATAATCCAAGAATTAAAACCTGGAATTGAGAGTTAGTCTCAGCAATGATAATGATGATTGTTGTAAAACCCATCTGGTTCATGAATATCCTTTAAGGCAGGAAATCAGCCATCCTTGCCTGGTCAGCCTTACGTGTCACCTCAGGCCCACAGCAATGTGGCAGACTTCAACTATCATTCAGTACAAAATTAGGAATGGGAAAACCCTTGGCATTGATGCCCAAGGTCCCATGAAAAAGTAAATAGAACTCAGGATTTCTTCTGGGAATGCAATATTAACCTATACTTATATCTTTGTCCATGTTGAAACACTTTGAGAATCCAGCCCCGGCTAATGCAGAAATTATATGGTATTTGGAAGGAGATTTATGAATGAGTGGAGTCTTTAAGAGTGCTGTTAATGGATAGTGCGATGGGTACTCTAAGGCCCAGGCAGAAGCAAATTTGACCGTCTCTTGTCACCAGTCTCTATCAGATGGTCAGAAAGTGAGGGTAGGTTAATCCAAGTTTTCATTGTAGAGCTCAGATGAAATAAAGTTACTGTTCCAGCCCCAGGTTTGGTCTGGTGCCTTGGAACAATCTGCATACTCAAAGAACAGCACCTTCTGTCTTCAGGCCAGTTTTTCTCTCGCCTTTTATGAGGAGCGGGCTGATACTGATGCCCCACAGGAAAACAGATGAATTGAGGGAACAGGGCAAGTCATGTGGCCATCTTAATTGTCTATTTGGCCAGGGTGATTGGTGTCTTCCTCGAACCATCCCACCTCATGACAGTAGTTATTGTGGACACTGTGAAGGGGGAGATTGTAGTGTTAGACTTAAAAATGATATCTTCAAACCAGACCATTAAGGTTTAATCATTAGGGGTAATTGCTCATACCAATGAGCAACTGAAGGTAAATGGAATAGTACATGAAAAACAGGCCTAATGCAAAATCAGCCTGTTTTGACTGGGAAATTAATCACCTTTCACTGAATTGTCTGTGAGAACAGTCCTGTTGTGCATGGGGCCACTTGTATTGGTTTTGCAGCCTGTCTTAAATGTTGTAAAAGTACAGCAGTCATTATGACATGGAGATTCAGCAGGTAACCTTAAAGTCAGAATAGTATTAATATCAGGGAGTTTGCTCCACTCATTCAACCTTTCACCATCGGGCTGGGGTTTGCGACCAGTGCCATGGAATATGAGTTCCAAGTGGCACCATCGCCTAAGTCCCTGACAGATACAATGCAGCGTGAGACTCACTTTATGTACGTATATTAGAAAAAAAAATAGAAATTGCTGGAAAAGCTCAGTGGTCTGCAGCATCTGTGGAGAGAGTTAACGTTTCAGGTCAAGTGACCCTTCCTCAGAACTGTATGTTCTGATATAAATTATATATTATGATATATTATAAATGTATGTATATTATGTAGCTATAGATTCACCTATTAGTTTGCATATGTCTCTAATTTATAATAAGTCGATTAAACTAATACTTTTGCTTCATATTAAAGTGCATGTGTCATCTTGTACTAATTTTGATCAGATCTTACAAAACCTATTAGGTTCTTTCAGCCTAATAGTAGAGCATAAACTGGCGGTCAGGACTGTGGATGCGTTCAGTGTACAGGGTTTTAAGAGATAAAATTAAATGGCTAGAGACAAATGCCAAAAGAGGGGATTCCATATGGACCAGAGAAAGAATGAACTTAATAGGTTGAATGGGCTTTTCCCATGTCAGCCTGGCTAATCTTTCAGATTGAAATTCATTTCTTCATGTTGTTGGACAAAAATTGACTGATCATGTGATGTATCCTACTCATACTAAATGGCTGAAATGATCTTCATTCATCAACTTAGCCCTTGTTTTCTTAGCCACAGGGAGCCAAGGCAGTAAATGCAAACATCTGCTGTGTGAATGCGATCGGCAATTTGCAAACTGCATCGGCCACCATAATGACTACAGCTCCAGATACGTACGGTACGCACAGCACCATGGATGTAACTAAACACTGCTCAACCAACACTATTGCGGCATGAAAATACTGAGAATAGCTTCTGCTGTCAGAACTTGCAAAGAACTGTCAAACACACAAGATGTGACCTCTAAGAATATCAAAGTTTTACAGGAATACCAGCATGCACTGAGAATCAACAGATGAGGCAGAGGAACATCCAGTATCCAAACTGTACATTGACAAACTGCTATTTTTGATTTACTACATCCTGTTTGATTCTTTCTAGTTTCCCACACAGAATCTCAAGCTTTCATCTGGTTCTCTTTAACTAAGAAAATGTATAGCTCAGACACAAATGACGCTGATAATTGATTTAACAATAATTGAGGTATTAAAGCTTCTGGTACTATGGCCATAGGTCATTTATTGTGTGTGAGTATTTGTGTGTGATTTGAATCTGTTCATATCACTTTATCTCAGTACTCAACAACTTTTCTGGTGTATTAAGGAATGGACCACTTTCCCACATTGAGTGTATACTACCGCTTCAAGTACTCTGATACGTTATAGCACAGATAGGGATGGACTAAGATCACTAGACTGCTCCAGCAAAACACTACCTGATGTTACAGCATGACTAGACATAGCCTAGGTCATCATTACACTATAGCAACAAACACTGATGGATGGATGGTTATTCAACAAACCCAGCTAATGTTCTCGGGACCCAATTTAAATCCCACCATGACAGACTGTGGAATTTCAATAAATGGCTGGAATAAAAGGTCTAATGTTGTCCATGAAACCATGATTGTCCATTGTTAAAAACCCATCTAGTTCGTGAATATCGCTTAGGGAAGGATGAACTGCCTTTCTTACTTGGTATGGCCTATGTGTGACTCTGGGCCAACAGGAATGTGACTGGCTCTTAAGTCCTTCTGAAGTGACATAGCAACAAATGCAGCTGTGTCAGCCACTAGAAAATCTAACATAATCTGAAATGTCCCAGACACCACCATCACCATCACCTTTCCCATCTCTGACAGAACAGACACAACAAGTGGTGGTAGTGGTATATAGTTAGGAAGGAGTCCTCTACATTGACACCAGATACCATGAAATCTCACGGCAACAGGTCAAATATCGGCAAGAATACTGCTGCTATCATGGACTGAAAATGGAAAGGAGGAAGTAATTATCAGTCATAGTAATCTTCACTTGTGCTTGGAAATGTTTAACTATTGGACATTTTAGGATTCAGTACACGAGGAAGCTGAGACTTGATATAGTAAGTGTAACATGCTTAGGAGAAACTGTGGCATTGAACACACTGGTTTGTAAAGCTTTGGGGTTTTCCCTCACATCATATTTGTGTTTCTCCTCATCTACTTTAGAAAGATTTTTGCTACTATTACAAACAACTTCATTAGCACTATGTCATATGACTAGAACGACGTGGTTTGGCTTCAGCTTTCAACACTCTTACTTGCAGAAGAGATTGTTGAAGAGGGCACCAAGAATAAGGAACTTCAATCATGTGGAGCAGTGAAGGTGAAATAACTGCAGAGGCAGGTACCCCATCACCAAGTGTGCACAGTACATGGGCTCTAACCAGTCAGCTCACAGCCAGTCCTTAGGATCAGGAGACTCTCTGAATCTCATGCCTATCTCTGTCAGCCCAGGCTCCCTGATTGGCCCAATCAAGAATCTTGTAGTCAATGAGATCCAACTGGCCCTGGTTTCAATCACTGCCGAAGGTCAAAGAGAGATTTAATGCAAGTATTCAATTCCAGGAATGGTTTTGATAGAGTAACTAAGGTAAGGGTTTTTGTGACATAATCCCTACCCTTAGTCTCACTTGATCTTGCTCTATTCAGTGACAGATTAAAAATACGCAGAATGATTAAGAAGAAATTACTTCCAGTGATTAAACAGTTAATGACCAGTAATACAGGTTTAAGATGATCGTTTAAACAGCATGAGGTAATATTCAGGGAGTAGACTGCCAGAAAGAGGAGTAGAAGCAGATTCAACAGCAATTTACAAATACTTCAAAGGGAGATTAGATACAGGATTATGCATGAAGAACACTGGAATAATTGAAAAGCTCGACCACACAGCTAGCACAGGGAAGACGGGCCGAACCGTCTCTTTCGTGCTGTGGCGTTGATTGGGATTGAGAAATGACCCGGATTTGGGGGAGGAACGTGGAGGTCAAAGGACAGAGAACAACATTTGCTGACACTTTTTAAAAAACAGTTGCATCGAGTTTGGGTTATTTTTAGTGACTGGGACAAACGTGAGGGGAGATGGATCGAGAAAGAGGGACTTACTGGAGAGAGCAGTCAGCTCAAAATATTTTCCTCAACTTGATTTCACTTTCGTTTTCCCCGCTTGGAGACTTCGTTCAGAAAGTTCAGAAACACTTGCTGGCCATTTCAGGGAGATTTTAGCATGAAACGACACCAAGTTAAGAGCATTGCCTTGGAGAGGTAAGAGCTCGAGAGGGGTCTATCGGAAATCCCCTGTCCCCGGTGCTGTCACTGTAAATACTGTTTGTGAACAGGGAAACTGCGGACGCTGTTAACTGTAACAACAAGGTGTAGAGCTGGATGAACACAGCAGGCCAAGCAGCATCATAGGAGCAGAAAGGCTGACGTTTCAGGCCTAGACCCTTCATCAGAAATGGGGGAGGGGAAGGGGGTTCTGAAATAAATAGGGAGAGAGTGGGAGGCGGATAGAAGATGGATAGAGGAGAGGACAGGTGGAGAGGAGACAGACAGGTCGAAGAGGCGGGGATGGAGCCAGTAAAGGTGAGTGTAGGTGGGGAGTTAGGGAGGGGATTGGTCAGTCCAGGGAGGACGGACAGGTCAAGGGGGCGTGATGAGGTTAGTAGGTAGGAGATGGGGGTGCAGCTTGAGGTGGGAGGAGGGGATAGGTGGGAGGAAGGACGGGTTAGGGAGGCAGGGACGAGCTGGACTGGTTTTGGGATGCGGTAGGGGGAGGGGAGATTTTGAAACTTGTGAAATCCACATTGATACCATTGGGCTGCAGGGTTCCCAAGCGGAATATGAGTTGCTGTTCCTGCAACCTT